AAAATTTGTGTTGAGACTATTATTAAAATATCCCATGAAATAGCCAATACATGTGGCCACAGTCGCTGTTACAAGATATACAGTAGTCCAAATAAACTTATACAATAAAGAACCAATTTTAATTTGTTCTTTCTTATGATACACACGAGAGAAACCAAATATATATAAAATGGAATATAAAGGTAAAAATGATGAGAACACGTCCGCCTTTAAAGTGTCACTTTTCACAGGATAATTCTTCATTTTTAATCATCATGTAGGCGACCGTTACACCAATGATAAGCAACAAATTATATGGCTTTGTTAAATGATCAATATGAAATTAATTCTTATACATTAAAATAATTACATAAATAATTTAGAAGTAAAAAGTACGTATGTTATTATTAAAACAATTACTTTGATGATCTATCTATTAGTAAGATTAATGTGTGGCATATAAATGTATAAATATATTTTTTTATTTTTACTTTGTTATATTTTTAGTAAGGAAGGCTTTGCAGTATTTTTTCTATGTTTCAATATCTTCAGAAGTTTAACTATACCAATATAGTTCATGAGACTAAAAAACCACAAAATATATGTATACACTATTCTAGTATGTATTATGTTGTAATACAATTTCCAGACCCGTTTCAGTGATTGTTGTTTTACTTATTTAAGAAATCTAATCTCAATAGAATGAGTTAACTTTCTTTTAGATATAGGAAAAAGCGCCCTAATACTTTTAGACCATGTGGCTCCAACACCTAATTTTATTAAATATCAACAATTAGTAGAGACGTTTTAATTTAACATTATTAACTATTTTTAGAGGTCTTTATTTCTGTCATTATACTCGTACTCCACTGATCTATTTCACGTTGGGTACAATCAAAAAACTAAGACCACATCAATCATTGGGCTGCAGCAAGTACGTCAATTTATTTTTATATAAAAATTTCCAATTCCTATTGGAAAATACTTCGTAAATTATCTTTTTTATTTAATTTTGTCATATAGATAACGTCGTCGTTGTCATCAGCCTATCAACTCCCACTGCTAAGCAAAGGCCTCTTTTTCACGTGGAGAAGGTATGAGCATTAATCACTTGCTTAAGACGGGTTGGTGATTTCAAACTTATAATTGTGAAACTATAAGTCCAGGTTTCCTCACGATGTTTTCCTTCACCGTATGTCAGTGGTGTCTAAATACTCTCAGAAAGTACATATGACTCCGAAAAATCACATTGGTACTTGCCAGGTTTGAACCCGCGCCCTCGGCAACGAGAGGCGGACAATTTAACCACTAGGCCACCACTGACTTATATAGATAACAGTTACATTAAATCAATAATTAAAATCTGTCTTATTTTTCTTTCATAGGTTGCTGTTGTTGTTGTTGTAGCTACCATCCACATGTTCTCTAGATAGCTTATTTGACTGTTGGTCATAAACATAACAATAATTGTATATGCTTGCCCCAAGTTCGCATTATCACAGTACATACGAGGCGTTACCCATTTTTTTAGTAAAACTTTTGATGCTACTTCTAACAAAATTGCGTTAAATGTTCAACGATCCTGGGGAGGGGAATGTCTACAAAGTTTGTCTTAAGGAAAAAATAAGTCCATAAAAAAATGATTATTATTATTTTCATTTCCACTTTGCTAAGTATCGTTTTTTCTTCTTTTTTTTTATTTATTGGAACCACAAACAAGTTTACAATTATAGTTTCTTATAGCTTAATTAGTAGGTACATATTAGTTATTGTAAACTCAACAACGATGGTCACATTAAACATAACAAAATAAAATAAAAATGAACCTGTTAAAGACTTAAATATGAACTAATTCAAAAAATTAAGAATTTAATTATTATTAGTTATTATGGTGAAAAGATAAATGTAAACATTTTGTTCAATGTAAATATATAATAAACAATATATGAGTATATATAAACACATACATGTAAAACTAGGAATTACTGTCTCAATTTTTTCATTCATGACAATTGCGAAACAACTATTATAACCTTACCATATTTTATTACGATAATTAATGCGATATCTACAGTTGTCTAATTTTAATTATTCCCAAATCCCGTTATACGTGTCGACAACTTAGTGTTCTTAATCTGTACAGATAAGAAATAGACATTATATTATAATAGGTATAAAACATCTATCCGCTTTAGTTCTTAAAAATATATAAATTACTTTCACTGCGTGAGCTCTGTACTGGTGAATTGTGTTTAATGATCTATTACTTTATTACATTATTATTACATTACATAAATATCTATTACATAATATCACGACTACCAATACTTTCCCGCGTAAAATAGTTTAAAACAAATGTCATAACTTCAATGTCACTTCGGGTGCATTCCGTAGTTTTAAAAGATCTGTTTGAATTAAATGTGTATGACCCCAATGTATATATGTATAATTGTTGTTTTCAATTGATTACAAAACGTGCTGAAAATAATAAATGCGAAGTATTTTTGACGAATTTTGAATATTTGTTATATATTTTATATATAATTTTGATTTGCTTGTAATATATTTGATTTTCTTCTTTCCATATAGAAGTATCAATTTTAATAAACTCAGTCAAGTGTTATATTAATTTTATTTAATTATTCATTCACTCTTAAATTTTATATTCAACATTCATTCACTCGTTCCTGAATGAATACAACTCTCAATCCACCGACCAAATGTCAAACGTCATTCGTCTTTATAAAGATGTTTTTATTCGCGTCAAATGTTTAGTATAACGAGAAATACAGGCTTAGCAACATGTCGGCGGCCGATCTGAAGGTTAGTGTATTTTTAATTCAACAACTTTAGTATTATTAAAACATTCCAGAATGTAATCTTCTGTATAATTTCTATCAGGAACAGACTCGATTGTTTGATTAATATTCCGTATTATATGACAAAAGTAATATTCGCGATCGGTTTACAAAGTTATTTGCATCTTGGTCTACCCCAAGGTTATATTGGTTGACGAATATTCTAGGTGTTGTTATTATTTTGTTAAAAAGATAATAATTAATTCGCTGTGTTTTTTAATGGTGGTTAGATATACAGATATAAATAAATAAAGTGCCAGAGTAAATTAACTTCATACATATGTATTTGTAAGTTTTCAATTATGAATAGTTTTAAAGATCAATTATTTCCTTATAATTTTAATTATTAAATTTAATATTGTCTTCGTTCTTTGTGTAAATCTTTCCATATATTCATATATAAACCTGTACTTAAATTAGTGAGTCCGATAAGATTGGTTCTTAATACGTGTTTGCATCGCACTCAAAACTGACAGTTACGAAGTTTTCTTGATGAAATTTTCTTTTTATCACATCGTATTTATTAAAGCCAACTTAATTATTTTCTATAGTTCTATAAACTGATTTAACAACAGTCAAATCAGCGTAATTTATCTATTAATAAACAAACTATGAAGATAAGTGCGTCTCAATACAAACCCATTTTTGTCGGCCCGTTATGAAGGCACCGCAAGGGTCTGTTTACCTAATCTAATGAAAATTATGATTTTCGGATATAAAAGTCGTTTTATTATTTTATTTATACATGATCTCGTCGTTTCGGTTCCTTTCAGCGACCGTGAACTCTGCCAGACGAGATGAAAGTCTGTCTCTGAGTGTTCTTATTTATCATCTACCGCCGAAAATTATTTAATTTCCTCTCGTACTGTTCGAAAATGTCGCAAAAAGTAAAAATAAAAATAAAATTCGCGTACGGTATACAAAAAAGATGGATTCGTGTTAATGTGTACTCGCGAAAATTTCAGAATTCATTCATTAAATTTACAGGAAAGATTCTTTCTTACCTTTTTTTAAAACAATCAATATATAAAAAAATTAATACATATATTCTTGTTTTACACTGAGGTAAACAGGGACATAGTCATATACATATATACATATATTTCTAATTTTGCTTCTTTGGACAAGAAAACTGTTTCGCATGCTCGCAGCCCACTTTCTTGATTAATCTTACCAGCAGATAGGAAATCTTCATGTCAATAATTAGAGTATAGTGTTACCCTTTATCATTCCGACAAATGGCTAAAAACTTTCTTTAAGTAAACCTAAATGTTATCCCTCAACTGTCTGAACTCTTTATAAACCTTAACTAAACCCTCGTCATGAGTGCCAGACTGGAATACGGTACGATTTACTTGTGATCGCTCAGTTGGCATTACAAACCTATGATTTTACATTAAGCCATGGCATTTCAAACCCATGATTTTGCATTAATCCTTCTTGAAGTCTTCTAATACCACCTCAAGTTAGTTGGAATCAAGCTTACAAAGAACCTCAGGTTCATTAATTATCTATGATTCATATTTATCAACTACACATATTTAAAACAAAATTTTCATTACAGTTTCATCTAGCTTACATTTTTTTCCCTCAATTACTACCTTTTATTTCGTATCTATATCGTAATCGTAACATTTTTCTATGCTTAAAATTAAATCTATATAGGAATTAACGTGAATACACTATAAAGTATCTTAAATAAAACCCTCAAGTATGCTTACCATAAGTTTACCTTCACACTACAAACGGAACTTTTGGAGTTTTCCTGACAATATTCGCACGTATTAATATAGTATTGTACGTTATCTCTACAGATAACATATCTCTGACCTAACCACCAGTTTTGTATAATATTATAGATATGAATTGTTTAACAAACAAACATCTTCTAGTAAATGGAAGTATTATATGAATATAAAGGAACTAGTAATAAAACCGTATTGTTTCCTTAAAAAAATTTAATTTACCTGTTACGATTAAACTTACAAAACTAATGACACATTGTTACAAAATTTTGTAATTGTAATTTCTATTTTCGTCTGTAATCAATGCTAGATGAAGTATTTTGATTTGTAAATTAACATATATGTTATTTATCATACAATTTAAAAATCTTTTTTTAAGATAAACATCCCGTCATTCACACTCAACAATGGCTTGAAGATGCCAGCTATTGGCTACGGCACGTGGGTCAATGTGGGTAAAAATGTAAGTATGGAAATGTAATTAAAAATATATACATATGTTAAGCATATACAGGGTGACTGGTGAATTACTATCAGTATTTAAGGAGAATACTCGGTACATGATTCTCAGTCGAATTATGTAAAAAAAATAGGTACTTAATTTTTGACCAAATTTCCGTATAAATAAATAAAGTGTGCACACGTTCCAAGTGTTCCTAGTGTGGACGCGTGCGGCGGCGTGCTGATACAACACCACGTCACGACATGCGTATGTGTGAGTGTGGGTGTATACCTAATCTGTAGGGTGTTTACACGATGCGTAATTAATTACATAACTTTTGGTTAACTTTACTTAGAAGTTTATTAATATTTATGTTATATTAATTTTTATTTTGTCATATATGATCGCCATAAATCACGTCCTCAAATATCGATAGTAATTCACCAGTCACCCTGTATAAAGTGTTGACACGTTCCAAGTGTTCCAAGTGTGGATGCGTGCGGTGGCGTGCTGATACAACACCACGCCGCCGCACGCGTGTGTGTGTGTATACCTAATCTGTAGGGTGTTCATACGATGCGTAATTAATTACGTAACTTTGTGTTAACTTTACTTAGAAGTTTATTAATATTTATGTTATATTAATTTTTATTTTGTCATATATGATCGTCAAATATCACGTCCTCAAGTATCGATAGTAATTCACCAGTCACCCTGTATATAAAAAGAAATACTAATATTGACTTTATAAAGGTTTAAAGTTTTAAAAATCTTTATTCTTAACAAGACTATACATAGTCACTTATTTGAGAACATTACTAATTTAAACTTATAACATAGTTAACATTCGTCCCACCAAGTTTTATTTAATCACTAGTGGTTAGTACGAAATTAACAAGAGAATAAAGGAAAAGAAATATAATATATAGTTTTCCTTGTTAAAAAACATTAGGGCCGCCTCCTATTGGAAGATAAACCGAAATTAGTAGAGGCTATGTCTCACGCCATAGACGTGGGCTACAGACATTTGGATACCGCACACCTTTACCAGACGGAACCTGAAGTAGGCTGGGTTGTACGGAAGAAGATACAGGAAGGAGTTATCACGAGGGAACAAGTGTTTATAACTACGAAGGTTAGTATATTATTTAAAACATAACAATTCTAATTTACTCGAGAGACAACATAACTTGCGAGTTAACACAAATTAACTATAACACAAATTAACTATAACACAAATTAAGATATTTTAATATTTATGTTCACTTAAAAGGAATTAACATTTATATTTATGTTTGCACGTTTTTATTTAATCTACATTTTTATAACATATACGAGGCACGATAAGTAAGTAAAAATGCGTTTTTAATATCTGTTTCATTAAAATTATCTTTTATTTGTGCAATGAAAGCTTTTAATAATAATTAAATGATTTATTATTATATAATCATTCAAGGTACCTGAAAATTGGTCCTCAGCAAATTAGCTGATAAATATGTTGACTTTACACAATCACTAACTTATTATAATATATATACATATATATGTTTTGTAGGTCAGAAAATAAATAGTGATGCCATGGGATTTATTCTTTATTTGTGAATAATATATTACAATATCTTAGTATAAACTAAATTTAAAATACTAATTAGTAAAGAAAAATCTCATAATTCAATCTTTAAGTATTTCACAATTACATATATGGTGTACTAAATGCAATAAAATTTGCAAAATTAATGGATATTATGAGTAAACTATCTTGTTTTACATAACATCCATTTAAATAATCTATTTCATTAGCATATATATTATTGACATCATAAATAATAATCTTTTCTGTGTTTAATTGTACAAGAAAAAACAAAGAATTCCTAATTAGTTCTGCAGTTAACTATCTTTTATTTATTATTTATACAAATGCTTATCTTTTTTACAAATTCCTGTGTAAACTAATAATAAAATAACTTCTACATATGATATTATATGAGTAATCATAATCATTACTTATTAATAAGAACTGTGCTATATCAAGAGATGAAACCTCTCATCATTCAATGTATTCACGGTGCGTGTGTCGGGTCCATCGTTGTAGTGAGAGGAGCTTCAACAGTGACTGGGACTTCCGACCCAGGTGTAGGTTTAAGGGACCCTCTCTAACGTTAATCGCTCACCTCCACCATACAAGCTTCTCTCTCTACCTACCAAATTTGATAATAAACTACCCTCATTTAATTCTCCCCGTATATATTATGTTCTCAGGTATGGCAACACAATCACAGGCCGGAGGATGTGGAGGCCTCGGTCCGAGGATCACTTGAGAGGATGGGTCTGGATTATGTTGATCTCGTGCTCATGCACTGGCCTATGTCTATATCGGTAAGAAATACACACACATACATACACACACACACACACACACACACACACACACACATACATACATACACATACAAACATACACACACATACATACACACATACACATATACATAATCAAGTTTATGTCATAATAATGACACAACTCATGTTCTGTTAAAATGATTTCAGGTTGATGGTGCCGATGAAAAAATAGATTACATTGAATCCTGGCGAGGATTTGAGTCCGTTTTAAACAAAGGTCTGGCAAAATCTATAGGAGTATCAAACTTCAATGTGCAACAGATAGAGAGGTTGTTGAAGAACTGTCGAGTGAAACCAGTGGTGAACCAAGTTGAGGTATACAGGAACTATAATAATATACATATATGCATATAAATATATACTTGGTTATGGCACAAATATTGTAACAAAGAATTATTAAATATATACATATCTTTACTAGATACTGTTTACTTAAGTTGATTGCTGATAATGTTATAAGAAAATTGTCTTAAACATACACACACATAAGTACCAACACTCTGTTCATTATTGATCATTACTTTTAAATTATTAAATTATCATCAGACTCAGACAATATACATATATATTGTTTTCTGAATTGATTGCAAGAATTTTAAATTATAATCATTTCAATAAAATGTTATTTAAGTAGAGTGATAGAAATAATCTTGCTATGTTTATAATAAAATTAATTTTTACTTAATCTGTAAATATATTTTTTTTAATATGGCATAATGTTTCTTTACAGTTAAACATAAATTTGGGTCAAAAAGACTTGGTGTCTTATTGTAAGAAGAATGGCATCCAATGTGTCGCGTACACTCCCTTCGGAAGTATGATGCCGAATAGAGAAGATCCAAATAATCAAGGAACAAAGGTCGATGACCCCCGGCTAGTAGCCATCGCCAAAAAACACGGAAAAACTGTTGGACAAATAGCACTCAGATATTTGGTGAGCTTGAGCTTGAGCTTTTAATACACACTTAATAGAAGAAAAGATGATTATTATTCATAAATACTTAACGAATTTGAGTCGACACTTAAAATAAATACACTCATTTTAATAATTAACCACACCAGAAAGAAACTTAACTACCTTTTTGAAGACAATAACTATTAAATTAAATAGTCTTAATACTATATCTTGTATTTTCAGTATGAACGCGGTCTGGTTGCTATACCAAAAACGCTAACGAAGTCTCGCGTCGTAGAAAACGCCTCCATTTTCGACTTCAAGCTCGATGCAAGTGATGTAAAGACGCTGGACTCTCTAGATAACGGCTATCGAACAGTTCGTCCGTTATTCTGGCAGGACTACGAATACTATCCGTTTGATCGTATCGACGCTCCCGTACCGAAATTACCTGAAATCTTCCTCAAGTGGGAAGATGGCGGGAAAATTGACATCTGACAGATTGATATTTGACACTCGTTGAGAATAATAAATTTCATTTATATACGTTTGTTTGTTTTCGTTTATTAAGTTATGTTTGATGTTCATTGTTTGATATTCTAATTGAATAAAAATATTAAATTGTTGTACATACTTTAATTTATAATTTGTTTTTATTCTAATTGATGGTTTTACCACTATATAATTTTTTTCTAAAGAAGCATGTTATACTTACAGCAAAACTATACCAGATTTTGAAGTGACTGAAAACATAATGAATATTTTTATAATAATATAAAGAAATGAGAGATTGAAGAGTATTACAAGAAGTGTTTTTTAAATAGAAAAATTAAAACAGTGCTACTTGTTTTACTCCCATTTTCAATAGAATCCCTACTAATATTATAAATGCGAAAGTAACTTTGTCTGTCTATCTGTTACGATTTCACGTCTAAACCACTGAACTGATTTTAATGAAATTTTGAACAGAGAAAGAACACTGACCTTGAGAATAATAATAGTAGTTTATTTGCTCGAATATGGGTTAACAAAGGTATTTCATATATTTACAGTGGTCCAACATATTCTGCCGATTTGGCGTGCAAATATTTTTGAATAAACTAATAATACTACTAATGAATTTACTACCATTACAAATATAAAGTTTATAGTATACAATTTAAATAAATAATTATATAAGAAAGAAAATAGGATAGTTTTATCCCAGACTATTGAAATGTTCTCTTGGAAACGTGATATAACGGAACTCCACGCGGGCAAAGCTGCGGGCGTAAAGCTAGTGATGAATAATTATATGTAAACATGCTTTTTAAATAATTCTTCTCCTCTCTATTCCTTTCTCTTTCCTACTAAAGCCTTCTCTTTCTTCCACGATACATCACACAACTCCAGAGTGAAAAATCGTTCCGTAGTCAATACAAATTCTCTTTATTTTTGTTAACCAGTGCACAAACTTAACAATAGATGTCGCTACCAGGAAACATTACTACACTGTGCTATTCTTTTAATTAAGAGCTCTTGTTTTAAATATAGTTAAAACCCCTAAGTGAATCATTGATAAATAATCAATTCCTTATAAAATATCTCGTCGTATTCATTTTGGAGATAATATTTTATCAAAGTGATAATTTGTTAGAAATTTAGTTCAACTACTACGCAATAGATGGAGCCACTGATATACCGAATCCTTAGTTGATGTTAATTTAGTTATCAGCCTATCAGAGCCCACTGCTAAGCAAAGGCCTCTTTGTCACATGAAAAAGGTTTGAGTATTAATCACTGCGCCTGCTCAAGACAGGTTGGTGATTTTAAACTTATAATTGTGAAATTATAAGTTCAGGTTTCCTCAACATCTTTGCTTCACCATCTGTCAGTGGTGTCTAAATACTCTTAGAAAATACATGACTCGGAAAAATCACATTGGTACTTGCTAGGATCGAACCCGCGCCCTCGTGCATGAGAGGTGGGCCTTTTAACCACTAGGCCACCACTGACTTGATGTTATTTTACTGAGGGTTAATTATTGTCGTATAAACTTTATAAGGAAAGTTGTGAGTTTTTTTAATAAATCACAACAAAGTTTCAAAATTATACTTAGATTTTGTAATATTTACAAAAAATTCAGTCTGCAATGCTCTTGTTTTATTTTAATTCTTAATGTAATAGATATCTACTCAGAAACAAAATTTTAAACATACTTTGATATGGTCTAATCAAGGACAGATTTTAGTGTTCTTGAAGCATAACTTTTTAACTTATGAGACACACGATTGTTAATAGTCATTTACTTTGTGTAGTAATGATATCAATGTTATAATAAATAAATTCATGGACACAAACGAGGCACGACCCTGCAACCTCCGGAAAAAAATTTAAAGTTGTAGCAAAAGTTTTATTTTAAAAGTATAATAATAACTCTTTACAAATTACTCCTTAACATTCTTGATTACAATAATAAAGAAGCTAACAGTTTTTCAATATGTAGTGGAATCTAGTTTAAGTAATTATAATATAATACATAGTTATTTCCTGTGTCTCCAATCACTCATGTCATTTCACTATGACTGGTGAACATAAATTATCGTTTGTGTTCCTTAAAATTAAACTAGGTGGGGTGCCAGCGGGGCAGCCTAACCTTCCGTCTGGTGCAGATCTTGACTGGACACTGTCGAGCCAGGGCAGTGGGTAGTCTGTAAGCGTTTTTCTCCGAGAAAAAAAAAAAAAAAAAAGGTTCTCGGATATTACTACGAGTTCTTTTTTGTTGTTTTATAACTACATAATCAAGTCGACCCGTTTCCTTTGCAGCAACCGCGATTAAATCCTTTGCCAGACAAACATGTGCAGTATCTATAGGAACGAGTGGGATCTATTATATATACACACAAACACACATACACACAGCACATATATATGTATATATATGCGAATGAGATATCAAGCTAGGTCTATTGCGACAATATTGGTGATAATTATGATAACAAATCAATTAACATATCTTTTATACACTCGTTTCAGTCTTGATCTAGCTATGGGAACGAATTTATTGGATGTTCAGATTTGAATATGTAAACCAGATAAAATTATGTCTCTAGTAGTCTATACAGGGTATACATATATAGTAGAATACCTTCTGACGTTTAGCAAGGATATTTTTAATACAGGCAAGCTGAGATGCATGATCAACTTAAGCTTATGATTTTTACACCCTTTTATACTCTTTTTGATATTAATTACTTATTGTTGTAATAAATTTTGGATGTTGTCTATTTAAGAACAGTCTCCGAGGCCCAGGGTCAAAGTATATGTTAAATAAATGAAAGGACTACGGTATAGTGATGTCAGTCGTGGCCTAGTGATTAAAAGGCCCACCTCTCATACACGAGGGCGCGGGTTCGATCCTGGCCCGGGCAAGTACCAATGTGATTTTTCCGAGTCATATGTACTTTCTAAGAGTATTTAAACATCACTGATTATTGCATTCCCAAAGAGGGTTGATGTCAGGCAGGCGGCCGGTCGTAAAAACAATTAGCCAACACTATTCACAACATGTAAGGCAGACCCTGGCTAAAGCTGGGAAATTGCCAGGTAGAAGAAGAACAAGTGATGTCAGTGGTTGACTAGTGGTTAAAAGGGTTTGCCTCTCGTGCACGAGGGCGCAGGTTTGATCCTGCCAAGTACCAATGTGATTTTTCCGAATCATATGTACTTTCGGAGAGTATTTAGACACCACTGACAGTCAGCGAAGGAAAAAATCGATAGGAAACCTGGACTATTATAATTTTAAGTTTGAAATCACCAACCCGTTTTAAGCGAGCGTGGAAATTAATACTCAAATCTTGTGAGAAAGAGGCCTTTGCGCAGCAGTGGGCAATGATAGGCTGATGATGATAGTGGAATAAAGCACAAATTTATACTATACTATACGTTATAACTTTAAAATTCAGATAATTCTAAAATCGTTCTGTGCAAGATTTAAAATCTGCTATTATCATTTAGGATATGAGCAAAAATTCCCGCCAAATGAATCAAGTTTGACAGAGACAGAGCCCGCAGAAGCCAGTGGAAAGTGCAACGGCCTCATCCCTTCTTAATGTCATCCCCACCATTCTTCTATTCACTATATATTATCCTGTATTCCTGGTCTCATTCGTCAATATGTGCATGAACTCTCGACAAAGAAACTTGCAGACGAAAACTGAACAGAATGATAGTCTCCAAACTTAAATATTGAGAATACAACTCCTTGTATTGGATAGACCCGACGTGCTTAACATAGCACTAAAGGACGTAACACTCTAGTTGTATTTGATCGAGGTGCTATTTGAGTGAGAATTAGACCAGAGATCCGATCTTATCCTGCTTAATGGAACCTATCAAACCCACACTAAAACATTATCGATTGAAAGCTACTGAAACTGACATCATAGATTCGGTAGAGGATACGAGACCACTTTGCAAATCCCAAAGAAAACAGAAGTGTTAGACAACTTGAATTATGAGGCAGATCATGGTGTCCTAGTAGGATTGCCGTAAGTTTTCTCCCTTAATTAAGAATAAATAACTTTTTTTTCTGTTTTCTGAACAATAAAGATTAAAATAAAAAAGATTTCGAATACATATTGTTATTATAATTATTATTACAAATTAAATAGATGTCAGTAATTGTTTTGAGAATTCGAGTATAAAACAATATTTTTTAATATTATATTTGTTCAGTACAATATTAATATAAGCAAACCAGCTTATACAGGGTGCTAAATAAATAATAAAAACATGTAAATGCAACAAAATTTATTAATTAATCAATTTGGGGGCAAATTAACAAGAGCATATAATGTTCGTAGATTATTTTATTAGTAAAAAAACACAATAAATATTAAAGCTTTAAGCAAACATACAAAAAATATAATAATGTCCATGTATTTTGACAATATTACATTTCTGTAGGATCCCGTATAAACCACAATTTTGCACATTTAGCGGAAAATTGCAAAATACTGTTGTTAAAAAATAATTTACTTTTTTAAATCTGTATATAAACTGTAATTTGTAAAAATTTTAATAACATTTTCTGACAACATCTGATTAAAGAACGAATTCGAACTGTCAAAAACAAAATTAAATGTCAAATGGCAAATTTGCGGTATTGAATATTGTGAGCGTCATTTCGTTTATATTTTTTACTTCTTGTAAACAATAAATTCGTTTTCCAGTTCGTCGTTGACATCTGCGCACTTCACGTTTGCTTCGAAGTCGCACTGTCCGGAATGCTCGTTGAAGAAGAGTCCATCGGAACAATAAGCTGTTTGTGGGACGCCGTTGACGCAGCGCCAGTAGCGTTGACAATCACCCCTGAATAACATGGAAAATAATGTTGTAATAACATAATATACCTACATTGATACAGGTTTATAACTGTGTTCGCGTATCAGGATAGATTTAATGAGATGTAAGACTCGCGGGTATTCATTTAAATGAAACTTATATTTTCGGATTACTACGCGTTATTATTTTAACTACATACTCCCGACGTTTCGGTTACTTTGCTGCAACCGTGATCACGGGCAGACGAGATGTGATTACGTGTTCATATAAAAGTCGCTGGATTCCTAACACTTATTTTTTGTTAATAAATTAAATTCACTCGTATGGATTTTTGGTTCAGTTGAACTTTCGAGAATAATATTAAAGATATATTAATAATATTAAACTAGTACATATTTTTTTGTCAATAAGAAACACAACTATAACATTCGTTATTAGTTGGTGATTTTAAATATGGCCTTCATCTATGCAAAAACGTGCTCAATATATTCAACTAGTGTTTTGTTCAAGATACAGTTTCAGCTTTATTTTTCAATGTTCGTCGTTACTTCCAGTAATATCTTACAAAATATCTGAAGCCAGTATTTATAGTTTTCAAATACATAACACTTAAATGTTGCATACAAAATGACTATGGTTTAGTTTTATAATTATGATCAGTCATAATAATAATTCTAAGGATTATACTATATTACAATTAGTATGGCACAGATGGCGCCACTTGTAACACTTTTAGAAAGGAGGCCACACGATTGTTTATTTATACTACCCAAACTTTGAGTAAAAAATTTAAAACTAAATACCACAGCCAGTTGAGAAATATTATAACTAGTTCAATAAATCGAGAGGTTTATGAATCGATTTAGGGTTCAAAATCGATTATTTTACTCTAAACAGTCGACTTTTGGGCTAAATAATCAAACGGGCAGACGGTCTACTTAATGGTAGGTAATCACCATCTCCTATGGACATCTTCAATATAAGGAGTGTTGTAAATGTGAAGAAAATTGATTGTAAAAAGAGCACATGAAGTAATGAATGTAATTATTAGTTTTATTTAACTCACTTGTAAGCAACTTGTCTGGCAGCAGAGTCTGAACGCTGGCAGTTTAAGCCGGTAAAGCTGGGTTTGACGGGGGACTCGACGGCCAAGGGACGTACTTTGCTTATCACTTCATCAGCTGTCAAGCTATTTAACGAACCTGGAAGATGTTTTATAGACATATAATTATAAATAAAATAATTTATTTGAGTTAAAACATCATTACAAAGAAAAAATATATAAAAAAGGAACAGCGAACAAAAAATAAAAAAGGAAATGTTCATACGAAATTACGATATAAGCAATGTCTTACATGAGTATTTCATAGAAATTCTTACTTAAGAAAAAATAAAACATTACAATAATAATGATTAAAAGCCACCACCATTTTTTTAAATTAAAGTATAAATATTGTGTTTATATAAACGTGATCTTGAGAAGCTTTTCGCTAGTCTAGTGTTTGATATAATTTCTAATAAGTTAAATATGATAATTATTCTTTTTAAACGCTAATTGTAGCGTTTTTTATTAACATATTCTCTAGGTAAAAAACATTACTTAACTACAGCGACATTTTGTTTTTTAAGTATATGTCGCGCCGGGAGATTCATCATACCAAGAAAATAAGCCTTTCCGCGAATTCGTTTAAGTTTTAATAATTGTTCTAAGAAACCATTGTAAATGTTTTCAAATTACCCACTTCATCAATGTAAATAGTCTTAACAAAATATCAGGTGATTATTTTTGTTCAAGTACCTACAATTGTAAAACAGAATCTACCATATAAAAGGCCGAGCATAATCATACTGAATTAATTCTACATTGGTCGCTCTTAGGGGTCACTCTGGTAGAATCTCTGCTAAACAATTCTTGAGTCATTGTGGGAATTTGTTAAGCAATAAACGTGTAACATTATAAGTAAAGACCCTCTTTTCTTTAAAATGGAAACCCGTGCTACGTCGCCGATATACTAAACGCCCGGACCCGAAAGCCTTTCAAGGTACTAGGGTCTTGGTCTCTTCCACGAGGATCCCCTCGCTCTCACATCAGAAGCGAGGACGTCTCACGCTTCACATTCAACCGCCGGATCGTCTACATGAAATCGCCTGGTTCGACATACAACTCTGCACGAGTTATTGGAAATGCAAGTGACAAAAGTTAAGTACTCTCACCGTATCTATAATAATTTCTGTGGCTGCTATTACTAGTCTAAAACGGACCTCCCGTTTCAAAATAACCTCCCGCTTGTCTTCAAACAAAGACCTTTCGATTAGGTCTAGCTCATTTTGTAATAGATCCAAAACAATGTCAGTCCTAAAGAGATTGCTATTTCTACAATAATGCTAATTGTAAATATGTACTCGTATCGTACGAGGTGACAATGAAGCTCATTTGTACATACTGTTCTAAAAATTAGAACACACTTTAGATAAAGGTGTCTAAAAACTAAATATAGTCTTAGTAATAATTATTTATAAAGATTTAAATATTTATCTACTCCACAAAGCCTTAAAATTTTATAAAATCACCTATGTATTCCTAGAATCATTAACAAAGAAAAACTATTGAACGGTCTTGCAGGGTGTATTACAAAAATTCATTTCAAATTTTTCTAGTGTTCACAACACCTCTTTAGCTTTAACCAAAGGTGAAAATTGAAACTCAGGTCACAAGATGGCTTGTAAAATCATAATAAACTTCTGAACGGCTGTGCCTGTTCTCTCCATACTTAAATAAAACGATCCTATAGAACTATATACTTAACAGGCAAGAGAGGGGCGTTCGTCTGGATTCATCTGTAATTAACAAATACGGCTTCTATTTCACACTAATTTATTAGGTCACGGTTATACAATTATCAACTCTAAATAATCAGACCACGCGGATGCAAATGGATTAACCCTAGGAACGTGGTGAAGTCGGTACCACGTCTTTACGTCGACAGCTTGTCAATATCTTCATATTGCCAGCGCACATTCCGAATACACCCAAGTCAAATGTCAGCTTGACGTTCCTTTATTTCTAAACTCCGACCTACTGATACTGATCTCTTGGTTACGAGGCAGTACTAAGTAATGTTGAAAATAGTTACCATTTACAGGAATTTTAAACTCTTTAAAGAACTTCTATGGTAAGAAATTCTAACAGACTTTAACTCTTCGAAAGGATCTAAGTACGAAGTAGATTTCTTTCATGTATTTACCTCTGATATGTTTTTCTTAAAAAATTTGATTTATGTGTTTAATATAGGTAACGTCTTAGACTACAGATTGCTTACTTCTTTATTCGGAATCCTATTCATTTCAAAGAATCCGTGGTGAATATTATGACCCGATACTTCGCGTGTTTAACAATAGAATTGAGAAGAAATCACGCCTTAAATCTAATCATGGACCAAGCTATTGAGGAGCGTTCTAATACTGACGTCTCTCTAAGAGACGAGTTCCTCAAGAAAGCCATAGAGTATCCCATTGTGGGACCACAACAATGTTCTGTTGTGTCAACTGCTTTCCAGTAATGTCTTAACATTTTGGATTGAGGAAAATATTCTTTAAAATAAACGAATCCTATTGGTTAAAAAGAAAATAAGTCTTATTCGCACTTCTATAAAAAGATTGTCTAATCCATATTTTATCAGTTTCAGAACAATTCCGGTTGCATCCCATATACAACACTCATCACCGTTTGAAGTTATCTAAATGTCCGTTGCTGGTAAACTACAAACTAATAACAGGAACACATAATCCTAAATATAATCATGTCATGTCTATGTCAAATATATTCAAAGAGCTAGCAACGTTTTTGAACAAGAATTTCAGGTAGGCTAGTTTTTAGATATGCTATCTCTCACACTCACGTCATACGGGCTATCTGGCTGACGGTAGTGGTTGCGTTCATCAGTGCGCATTGTACTTGTGGAGGTAAACGAATTATTATTTCAAATCATTTTAAAAAGGTTTTTTATTATTATTATTATTATTATTGAACTATTCACAACATAAATTTATTATTGCCAGATATTTTTATTGTTGTTTAAACGGTGCCTAACGGCAATGTTGAAGTAAAAAAAAAAAAAAAAAAAAAATTTCAAAATATTTTAATATAGCTGAAATTTTAATAGCATATTATTTAACTATCTAAAGGCTCAGAATTAATTTACCAGATAAAAAAATCGATTGTTAAACCTTTTGCCAGATCGAAATAAAGTGTAAAGAGATGTAGTATCATTTAGCTTGGTCTAGAAAATTAATCGTCTAATAAATGATTGAAGAAGGATTAAAAACTATTGAATTTATTTATAGATGAATACGGTATAAAAATAATACTTTATTGTTGTACAAAATTGAAATAATAAATAAATAGATAAATACGTGTTACTATATTGTGCATAGACAAAAGCCACTATAGTATTTTGGCAACTTTAGAACAAGTGATGCATTTACTTGGTTGTTTCGATACACCAAAAGAAATAATCGTTGACGGGGCTAGTAAGTTGATAGGAGAGAATAAAACTTAATGTGATAGTTTTGGAATTAATATTTTTGCCGTATAGCCAGGTATTAGCCGAGCAAATGGGGATCGGAACAGGCTGCGCTTTCAACCACTGGCCTCTACAGACTAGTTTCCATCAGCCACGACGGGAAGAGTGACTCGCTTCGGGGTGCCGCGTTACCTGACGCGATAACCGTCTATTGTGGAGATGACCACAAAAGGTTGCTAACCCACACAAACGGATGGCAGTGTCGCATATTGATAAGTGTGATGACAACAAGCTTATGAATAGCACCGAAAACAAAATCTACAATATTCTACAAACCGATGGCATAACACGTGTAGTGTATCCACATCACATCTATGAAATTCTGCTAACACGATGGCATGACACGTGTAGTGTATGCTCATCACATCTACAAAAACAAAAAAAAAAAAAAAAAAAAAAAAAACTAAATCTACAAACCGATGGCATGATACGTGTAGTGTATGCTCATCACATCTACAAAAACAAAAAAAAAAAACAAAAAAAAAAAAAAAAAAACTAAATCTACAAACCGATGGCATGATACGTGTAGTGTATGCTCATCACATCTACAAAAAAAAAAAAAAACAAAATCTACAAAAAGATGGCATGACACGTGTAGTGTATGCTCATCACATCTACAAAAACAAAAAAAAAACAAAAAAAAAAACTAAATCTACAAACCGATGGCATGATACGTGTAGTGTATGCTCATCACATCTACAAAAACAAAAAAAAAAAAAAAAAAAAAAAAAAAAACTAAATCTACAAACCGATGGCATGATACGTGTAGTGTATGCTCATCACATCTACAAAAAAAAAAAAAACAAAATCTACAAAAAGATGGCATGACACGTGTAGTGTATGCTCATCACATCTACAAAAAAAAAAACAAAATCTACAAACCGATGGCATGACACGTGTAGTGTATGCTCATCACATCTACAAAAAAAAAAAAAAACAAAATCTACAAAAAGATGGCATGACACGTGTAGTGTATGCTCATCACATCTACAAAAAAAAAAACAAAATCTACAAAAAGATGGCATGACACGTGTAGTGTATGCTCATCACATCTACAAAAAAAAAAACAAAATCTACAAACCGATGGCATGACACGTGTAGTGTATGCTCATCACATCTACAAAAAAAAAAAAAAACAAAATCTACAAAAAGATGGCATGACACGTGTAGTGTATGCTCATCACATCTACAAAAAAAAAAACAAAATCTACAAACCGATGGCATGACACGTGTAGTGTATGCTCATCACATCTACAAAAAAAAAAAAAAAAACAAAATCTACAAAAAGATGGCATGACACGTGTAGTGTATGCTCATCACATCTACAAAAAAAAAAAAACAAAATCTACAAACCGATGGCATGACACGTGTAGTGTATGCTCATCACATCTACAAAAAAAAAAAAAAACAAATCTACAAAAAGATGGCATGACACGTGTAGTGTATGCTCATCACATCTACAAAAAAAAAAAACAAAATCTACAAACCGATGGCATGACACGTGTAGTGTATGCTCATCACATCTACAAAAAAAAAAAAAACAAAATCTACAAAAAGATGGCATGACACGTGTAGTGTATGCTCATCACATCTACAAAAAAAAAAAAAACAAAATCTACAAAAAGATGGCATGACACGTGTAGTGTATGCTCATCACATCTACAAAAAAAAAAACAAAAATCTACAAACCGATGGCATGACACGTGTAGTGTATGCTCATCACATCTACAAAAAAAAAAAAAAACAAAATCTACAAAAAGATGGCATGACACGTGTAGTGTATGCTCATCACATCTACAAAAAAAAAAAAAAAAAAATCTACAAAAAGATGGCATGACACGTGTAGTGTATGCTCATCACATCTACAAAAAAAAAAAAACAAAATCTACAAACCGATGGCATGACACGTGTAGTGTATGCTCATCACATCTACAAAAAAAAAAAAAACAAAATCTACAAAAAGATGGCATGACACGTGTAGTGTATGCTCATCACATCTACAAAAAAAAAAACAAAATCTACAAACCGATGGCATGACACGTGTAGTGTATGCTCATCACATCTACAAAAAAAAAAAAAACAAAATCTACAAAAAGATGGCATGACACGTGTAGTGTATGCTCATCACATCTACAAAAAAAAAAACAAAATCTACAAACCGATGGCATGACACGTGTAGTGTATGCTCATCACATCTACAAAAAAAAAAAAAAAAACAAAATCTACAAAAAGATGGCATGACACGTGTAGTGTATGCACATCACGACATCAACAAAATTCTGCAACTACAAAAGTAATTAAAATAATAATAATTTCAGATTTGATGCATCTCTGATTGGATCTCAACTCCTCATGATAGCGAGACGTTGGCGCTGAGCACGCACCAACCGTCAGTATGGCCGTGTCGCGCCGGGAGATTCATCATACCAAGAAAATAAGCCTTTCCGCGAATTCGTTTAAGTTTTAATAATTGTTCTAAGAAACCATTGTAAATGTTTTCAAATTACCCACTTCATCAATGTAAATAGTCTTAACAAAATATCAGGTGATTATTTTTGTTCAAGTACCTACAATTGTAAAACAGAATCTACCATATAAAAGGCCGAGCATAATCATACTGAATTAATTCTACATTGGTCGCTCTTAGGGGTCACTCTGGTAGAATCTCTGCTAAACAATTCTTGAGTCATTGTGGGAATTTATTAAGCAATAAACGTGTAACATTATAAGTAAAGACCCTCTTTTCTTTAAAATGGAAACCCGTGCTACGTCGCCGATATACTAAACGCCCGGACCCGAAAGCCTTTCAAGGTACTAGGGTCTTGGTCTCTTCCACGAGGATCCCCTCGCTCTCACATATATTTTTAATAGAATATCAAATAATAATATTGACATTGGCAGAATGTTCCACGATTACAGTGCGAATGAAGGAATAGCAATAAAAAATTAGAAAATGGCGGTTTTGAATTAAAATTACGAATAAATCGTCGTTTATTCATAACAGATTATAAAATATTTACCATAGAGTTTAAGAGAATATTGCAACATTTTTTTAAAACTAATACGTTTGATAATATTGTAATACCAGACGATATTATCAATGCAATTTATATATTTTATCATATTATAGATTTTGTTTAATGGTTCTACAATCTAGTTCAGATAAAGTGTCGTTGAATTATGTATACATATGATTGAAGAGTATTGAGTATTCAAACAAAGAGTAGTCCTCTCGAAATTTGTTTAAAGTCTACTATAATAATAAATATAAAAATAAGATTCACTAAGTAAGTTATAAAGTTGATCGCCAAAATAAGTATAAACATTCGTAAAAGTGTAAATTATATAAAAATCCATATTATTTGGATAGAGCTATATAATAATCATATGTACTACAGGTATAACGATTTATTCTAATTAGTAATACTTTTAACATTATATATTTTACTATGTTATATAAATTAAAATTTAATCTATATAAAATACTTATTCGAAATCGAATATATAATATACATATATGATAGATTTAATCTGAGATATCAAGGATCCTTTAAAAGTTAAAATACACGTAGTTAATTCTACCCACCTTCATAGTTGACGTCAGCAAAGTCCGAAAAGTCGAAAACACCTTCCCCGGAGCCTTCCTCGTCATCCTTACGTGTACGCAGGGTGCAGTTAGTCGCCCAAGCGTGGTTACAAGTCTGAAAACAATATGATTATTCCAATTACAACACTTTTTTACTATAATTACAAAAATAATAGGACTAGTTTTTGCTAAATTCTACTCGGCTTTGTCATGGAACGACAAATGAATTCTACAGTTGTCATATATAAAAAATGAGATTGAACAGATAACTGTTATAAGAAAAAAATATAGATTTTAGACTGTGTTCATGTATAAATTATTAATAAATCGATATGTTCGAGATTCATAATTAAGTTGTATATGGTATTTTAATTATTGATTAATTTGAAACTTTGCATATGTCTCAAGGACCAATGACAGTACAATAATTCGTTAACAATTTTCCATTATCCTTATTAGGGCCGCCAGGATTTATATATTCTTTTCATAGATCCTCTATAAGAGTGAAAGGGACAGAGCTAGTGTGCGCATGTCCACAAAAAACTAATTGATGAATCGTACTAAAAATATAAGATAAATAATAGTTACAAGCATGTTTTTTTAAACTATTATTTATTTTATTTTGAATAGCTTTTGTTTGATTGAAGCTCATTTTTTTCCATCAATATGACGTATAGTTATACAAGGATTCACAATAATTACTATAATATTACCTGGAGAGCAAAATCAAAGATGGTTGTTGCTGGACAGTCAAATTCAACTTCGTTGCCGTGAGCACACATGTAGAATTTGTTGCAGTGAACGTAGTGGGGCAGTAGTAGGAAGATCTGTCGAAGAAAATATTAATATATATTCTATACAATGTAATAATATACTATACATACTATTCTTTCAATTATTAGTATTTCATTATAGATTTAGCCAATGTGAATAGCTACTAAGTATTTAGGTCTAAGACTTGTGTCAGCTAAGACAAAAGCATCTATAATAATTTTAATTTCTCATTTAATTTTAATGTTTTTTTTTATTTCTGAATTTCTAAATAGATTCGAATATTATTATGTTTAATGAACTATGATCTGGAATAAAACTATTATTATTTATCACTTTCTCCGTATATGGTCCAAATTTTAAAAAACGTGGCAAATGTCCTAATTGTCCTTATATTGTGTGGGTTCTTACGTGGCCTTGTGGGTCACACGACAGAGTGTTTGGGTCAACATCGTGGAAGTCAAATGCTGATAATGATTTCTTTGGCTCAGCAGCAGCAGTTGCGCTGATGAAGAAGAACAACAGTATCTTTCCTGAAATAAGATATTTTCAATTGTATTTTCATGTATATACAATTTCAGATTTGTTTTTCTATCAGCGCTCCTTCCAGTAATGTCTTACAAAATGTCTGAAGCCAGTATTTATAGTTTTCAAATACATAACACTTAAACATTTTTCTGACGCTATACATGGTTTAGATTCACTAATCAGTCCTACAGAATACAGATGGCGCTGTAGTCCGTATCGAGGCTATCTAAATGAAAAAGCTACTACGTTAAACGTAAGTTACTATATCTTATGTTTTAAAACACACTCTCCGAGAACCACGCCGATACTCACGGGCAATAACTAGTGTATTATAATTATTAAATAGATTCTACGATAAAAAACTAACAGCTTCAATACTCTTGGAATAGAGTAATGTTAATAAAAGTTATAATTATATTAATCATCGTGTATCTCGTTTAAAAAAGGTTGCTTCACAAAGACAAAAATCTGTCCTTGATAAGACCACATAAAACAAACTTAAAACATATAAAAAAATTAAATTAATATAAAATAAATTAAATTAATATAAAACAAGTGAGTTACAGTTTGAATATTTCATGAGAGTTGTGAGAACAAAGTTAAAATACACAAGTTATTTGTGAAATAATAAAAAACTACCTAAAGTAGCTTCTTGGCAATGAATTTAAAATAATCAATTGAGATTCTGTTGACTCATTTACGCTAATGTGAAAACGTTGTTATCCAAATAATTTATCCATATTGATATAGATCAAAAGATTTTATATTTAAAAATATTTAATTCACAATAAATATTGAATTTATCAAACTCACCACAATGTATGCTTAATTTTACTAGTTTAAAAATCTTTCTCGTATTTATATATATAATTACAGTTTTTAAATGATTACTTTTCTATTTCTGTTTTAATTAGAATATACATTTGACATGTGTAGGTACGTGAAAAAAAAATTATGTGACATTTTTCTGAAAATAATAGTGTATATAATTTAAAAAAATGCTTTTTTAATTCCAATTATTTTTAATATATATGTTACGTATCTAATTAAAATTATAAATGTTTTATGTATTAATGTTTTCCAATACAACTTCCTGTCGCGACAGATCTTACACAGATAATCAATTGAATGAAGTAATGATATAGATGATATAATATAAATTTAATATAGGTAGCATTTTTATAATATTTTTGTATATTTAATACAATTTTTTCTGATCATCAATTATATATTTTTAATATTTTAAACTCTCAATAGACAATATTAGCATTTTACATAAACCCGACATATATTTTATTAACCTAATTTTAAAACATAAGTACCACAAATATATAAAACTTTATTAATATTATTTATTAATTTCCATTTATGTACTTTCTTTTAGTTTCTCTCTTTACATTATTTTATAGAGATTTTCTTTACGTCCATAGACAAAAATACACGTTAAAATTTATTTTAAATAAATAATTGTCTATGGTTAATGACGAATTGGAATAATATTATTGATATTTTAAAGATAATCAAAGATTTTAATAAAACATGTGTAGTGTATTATTATCTTTGATCAAAATTATCTAAATAGTAATTGATTGGAAAAACTCAGGCTGTTATGATAAATTTATTACGCAAAGCGACCTTTTATTATTCTATATAAACTAAGTATTCTTTATGAATAAAAAAATAGTTGTTTTTTTTATAGGAAAAGGTTGCAACCGAGCAGACGACCTACCTGATTGAGGACAAGGGTGAGGAAAAAGTTGGAAAGGGAGGGAAAGGAAAGGGTGGGAAAAGGGAAAGGGCAACCGTCTCTCTCACTCATCGGACGAAACGCAACCATTAAAGACTACTTCACGCCGATCTTCTGTGAGAGGGTGGTACTCCCCGGTCGAGACAGCCCATGTTTTGTAATGGAAATAACGTAATTATCAGAAAACGAATATCTGTTATCGTTCTAATAGGTACCATATTTATTTCGCCTTAAGTGTTAGTAGGAAATAATATAAATTAATTGTAGGACTTAGGTAAAACTGAAAGCATCTTTTAAGGACTTGACTGTGCTTTTTCAAATGAAGGGCATTTGTAATAGATATTTTAATTATATACCTATTGTGATACAAATACCATCCAGCTTACATTACAAAAGTAATTGCAATTACGTCAATACATTCGGAGATGTTTATAGCTTTCTTAAAAAAATCCTTCCGCGCTCAAGCAGTCAAACTTCCTAATGTTGAAATTAAAACAGAAAGATTAGAAATTGATTTACAAGGATTTTTTGTATTTATAAAAAATGAACTTTATTAACATTATTTAAAAATCACAATTGATTGTCTCATGCGGTCGAGTGACAAGGATTTCCTATCGCTCTGTCTCTTTTTATAGGGAGTTAAACGTTTAACGCAACCTTATTGGAAGTTGTACTAGAAGTTTCATTTAAAAAAAAACATTTTTTGCTACGACAAAGTACAGTTTACAATATAAGGAATATAAGGAAGGACTCTGCAATATTATATGTTGAATATAAATTGTTATTGTATGTTGAATATATGTTGAATATAAATTGTTATTGAATAATATTGAAGGCCACCATAGTTTTTTTTTTGCTATAGCTTCATTCGCACTGGAATCGTGGATATTCTGCCAATGTCAACGTTTTTATTTGTAGGACGAATTATAATCTTGCGTACTGTGTGGAAAAACGAAGGATTTTGTAGAATGGAATACAGACATTCAATTAATTATTATTATTCTTTTAAGATGACTCAAAATACCTAGTTTGTGACTTCAAACAGGTATTGTAATTTTGATATGAATTTAATTTTTCGAATTAATTACATACAACCAATTATCAAATATTTCATAGTAAATTTAAATTAAAGACAAGAAATTTGTACTCATATATTATTTTATCTGTAATTTCATAAAAAATGTAGCTTTTAAGTTAGGCCATCCATATCCTTAATTTATTAAAACAAGTGTGACCTCTTTTGTTTAGATATAAAACTTTATATCCGTATTCTAATCAAATAAATATATTTTTGACAAGAAGCGTAATGTTTTACTAACAATTAAGAATACTATTGTCCTTTTCCTAGTCAATATTAGACTAAAACCTTTTTCCCCGATAAATATTTAACATATGGGCAGAATATTGTTGATCTGACATTGTTGAGAATGTTTAAAAATTGAAAATGTATGGTTAAACAAAAATATTGCTACAATGAGGCGTTTTACGTCAAATATATTATTATCAGTATAAGAAATCAAATATAATTTATCACAAAGACGATCTTAAAACCATTGCGGTGATTTAACAAGTGATATATACTGATTGGAGATGTAATTTATTATTAAAGACGCCGCACTTTATTTTTTTTAATATAAAAAATATGAGGCCTTTGTTCATTATTATTCAACCAGATTCCTATTTAATGAAACTGATATCTTTATCTATTAAAATTATAATAATCTTTCATTTATATTATAAATTAAGGTTTAAGTTAATTAATAGTTATACGCAGAACTCTCTTCTAATGATTAAGTTTTACATGAAAAATGTATTGCAACCTCTTTGGGTGTTAAGTTATAATATTTATTTAATTATTGCGAACCATACGCAATACTAGAAATGATTTTTTATTACAATAAATAATTAAACTGCAAGGATTTCTTAACGTTCATGAACAACTTAATAAAAAGATTCTATATATAATCTTTAAACCGATTTGAGCTTTTTTTGTTTAGTAAACATTTATTTCGTATATAAATGCAAAGTTTTTAAATTTAATTATATTTGTTTTAAAAGAGATATCAGTAATGAATAAAAATTATTACAATTTACGTATTAACAAGTTTGAAATAAATGAACATATATTGTATGATTATAAAGAATAGATAAGTAGATATTTATAGAAAAATAAAATGAAAAGAAAAATTTAATAATGGCTGAACACCTATTAATTATTTTAAACATCAGTCGAAAAATTATGTTTTTTAAATCTTCAAAAGTCATCGCAAGAGTGTGAAGTTTTCTATCTCATGACAGATTAACTTTTATAAAGTGTTACTAAAACATAAAATAAACATATAAGTTCCAAAGTTAGTCTTAATCTATTTACAATTATACAGAATAATTTTAATTAATACTAAGTTTAAGAAATCCCTTATACAGGGTGACTGGTGAATTACTATCGATATTTGAGGACTGGTGATTTGAGAAAAATTAAGTACCTATTTTTTTTACATAAGTCGAATGAGAATCATGTACCGAGTATGCTCCTTAAATATTGATAGTAATTCACCAGTCACCCTGTATAAAATTATTATCAAAGAATGACTAACTCTTTAAAATAAAAAGTTATGCAATAATAAATGATTTAAACATATACAACTTTTGTGTCTTATAGTAATGTATATTAGATTAATTCCAAGAATCCAACTACCAGTTCATAATGTGTCAAACTGATAAATTATTATCTGTCAAGCTAAAAGCAATAACAGATAGCTTTGTGAGATTTTGTGTTTTAAATTTTCTAATATATACAGTGACTTACAAAAATAAATAGAATTCTATTCCATAAAAAATTAAATAATAATCCCGTAAAATGCCTCCAAAAACTAAAAGAGAGGGTAAAAAAAGAAAAACGGTAGAGAACATGAGAGATCAGTTCTTTAAGGAATTTAATGCTAAAGAGAAAATTTTAGACACACCGGTTGATATACAAATTATAGAAACAACTAAATCAACTTGTGATAGTGTTGATAACGTTATGGACGATAGTTTTAGCATAGATAGCCTTTTGGCGAAATATACTACGAAAGAAACAGTGACACCAAAAAAGCGTACTCGAAACGCGGGAAAAAGGAAAAGGAACCTTTGCGAGAGTTACTGTGACGATTTAAGTTATGTGATACAACCCACTAAAACTCGTGCAGCATCAAAGAAACTTCTAAAAGCTAATGAAACAGATGATTCAGTTATTATAATAGAAGATAACTTACCACAAATATTAACAGACACGAACAGCGCAACTAAACCCAAACGGAAAAGAAAAACAAATGCCAAGGATAGTATTACACCAACAACAAATGTGTCACCAATTACAAGTGGCAGAAAAAGGGGCGGTAATAGGAGGAATAATATATCACAACTTGATCCATTAGTGCTTTTACCAGACGGCACAACGAGGAGAAACCCAAGATACAAAACCAGAAGGACTAGGAGTGTAAGAGAGACCCCAACAGAAGAATATCCGACAATAACAATCGGAAATCTAGCTGAATATCCAGACAATTCAAGTAACGTCCCTCTGTTCACAGGGAAAACAAACGAGGTTATAGATTTAGATGATTACTTGGATCAAAACGAGGAAATATCCGTCAAAGTGCATTGGAGGAATCGTGAAGTAGAGAGATTCAATCTACGTAGATTTCAAAAACTGAAGCACATATTCGAACACTTTTCCGATAAGGAGAATGTCGGGCAGAACCAGTTGCTCTTCACTTATAATGACACTATCATCAAACCCGATGATACACCAGAATCCATAGGATATAACATAGCTAAATTTATAGACGGAGGTGTTATAAATCAAGCAATCAATCTCAATAGAGACAAAGTTATAAGTAAAGAAAAGGGCATCAAAATTAAGTTTCAATTCAAGAACACCAAAAGGCCATATGAAATATCGGTTGAACCGGACGAAAAATTATCTGTAGCTTTTATGAAATGTGCTGAGCACTTAGAGACGTCGCTAAATAAATTGAAGTTTGAATTTGACGGGGACTATATAACAGGTGAATTCTTCATATAACGTTAGACTTTGCATGAATGTTTGTTGTACTTCTTCTTGGCAATTTCCCAGCTATAGCCAGGGTCTGCCTTACATGTTGTGAATAGTTTTGGCTAATTGTTTTTATGATTGGCCGCCTGCCTGACATCAACCCTCTTTGGGGAAATATTTGTTGTACTATTCTATTAATACTTGCTGAACTTTTGACATAATTTTACAGTAAGCTTAGACATCAGAATATGTACATATATTCAATTTAAAACTTCTTTTTATTTATATGTTTAGCCATAACAGACTTATTGCTGATTAATTTTAGACACACACCTTATCTTTTAAAATACTAGTCTTTATTTGGAATCTAATTATAAAAACAGACATAGTTATAGGCAAGAACTAGTGATAATATATTTCTATGGAGTACTTTATGTTGCATCAATAGTAATGAAAATAGCATTATTTCATATTTAAGTATTTGAAAGTTTATGTCTATGAAATTGTAATGAACTTTGACGAAAATCTAAAAAAAATATATAAATAATACTAATATATAAAAATATATAAAATGTACTAATTAAATATCTTCTATATAAGATTTTAAACTATGAAATATATTATTTTTATTATAGAAAAATGCATAGGTTCTGAAGCAAAATTAATTAAAATACTTTGTGTTGATGAAATATATTAAATATATAAGTTTAACTAGCTTTCCGCCCGCAGCTTCGCCCGCGTGGAGTTCGGTTATATCGCGTTTCCAAGAGAACCTTTCAAAAGTCTGGGATAAAAACTTTCTCAAGGTCAACTCTATCTCTGTACCAAATTTCATTAAAATCAGTTCAGTGGTTTAGGCGTGAAAGCGTAACAGACAGACATCAGTAACAGAACTACTGTCGCATTTATAATATTAGTAGGGATTATCAGGACAAATTTTAATATTTGTGTTTTTAAAGTTATAAAGAAAGATTAATTATCAATATCTTGTATTTAGGCTACAAAATTTTTTTTTTAGTTTAGTTTATTAAGATTTTTGTAGGTGTTCCTCACAATAATAATTTAAAAAGTGTTCAAAGATTTTTAATTCTTTATTTATTTGTTTCAAGGTAACCAAACATCGAGGGAACTTGAATTTGAAGGCGGCGAGTGTATTGATGTTAAGATAGATGAAAAATAAATTTGTTTTTAATGGAAATAAAATATATTGTATGATATTATTATTTTTGTTTTCTTTTTTGAATATATAATAAAGATTAAACCTTTTAAAAAACTGAAATATATAAATATATATGTATCTTCTTCCTGGCAATTTCCCAGATTTAGCCAGGATCTGCCTTATATGTTGTAATAGTTTTTACGACCGGCCGTCTGCCTGACATAAACCCTCTACATACATGTATGATGTGTAATAAATAATAATAAATCCGTGAGAAAATATTTTCATACCTATATCTGAGGTAAGTAATAACACATCTTTAAAATGTGAGAAATATCAACTATATAATAATTATCATTGATAAACGCATTTTTTCTTGTCGATCATACGAAATACATACGATATTATTCTTAGTACGAACAGGATTTACTAACTAACCAACAGTTCCAAAGTATAACATAAATAATATATATACATATATACTAGTTGATACGGCAAACGTTGTTTTGTCATATGAAAATATAAGGGTTGGTGATAAAGAAGTAAAAATTGTGTTGTATGTATTTTTAATGCTAAAAAATTAAGGGTGAACAACCCTTATGACTTAGGGGTATGAAAAATAGATGTTGGCCTATTCTCAGACCTACTCAATATGCTACAAAATGTCATCAAAATCGGTCAAGCCGTTTCGGAGGAGTTCTCTGTCTAACACCGCGACACGAGAATTTTATATACATATATAAGATAGAACAGTATTTTCAAAGATTATAATATGTTGTGTATTCTAACTTGCAAACTTGACGTAACTCGTAATAAACAACAGAAAAGCATTAAGAATTGTTATATATAAAATTTCTATTATTATATTGAATTAAATATCTTTTTTTCGATATAAATTATTTATAATTATTGTTATGAAATTCTACCGCGTAAATTATAAGTTAACTTTTATGAATGACAGATAACATATTACAGATTATATATAATTGTAAATATATTTTCTTATTAAATAGTTTATTAAAATATCTTATTTCTTACTAGATTAAATGCTCAAGTTTTATTTTAAATTATTTTAGGAAGTAAGAGTGTAGTTATTTAGTTAAATCAATATGAATGAAATTAAAATTTACATATTAAAAGTGTTGACATTTAAAAAAATGAAGTTAGGTAGCTAATACTAAAAATTAATAATAAGTTTGATATACATTCGCTACCTACAAAGGCGATTTGTTTTAACTAATTATATATCAACACTAAAGTATATAGCGTATAATTTTGTTTATTTATCAGCGATTAGAACGTAGACGGTAAATTAGTGGAGGATTAAAAAAATATATCGTTTATATCATGTCAAATTTATAGTGAATTCAAAGATTAAATATATTAAAAGATTTATATACTTTACATAAAAGATTAAACTGTGGAAACATATTCTAGTAATCAGCTTAGTGAATGAGATATAAATATTATACTCAATATTTAAATGCTATTACAGATTAGTGCAAAAAATTTAAAGTTTTGCTTGTATATTGTTTCTAGTAACGCAACAAATATATTTAAAAAGTCCTGTTCAATTTACAAGAAGAGCTATTAATTCAGCTTTTTTTGACTACGGCAATATTTTAAGGACTAAAAAACTTTTGAAATATTAATATTTATGGGAATACAATAAATGTCTTTATTTTATACTGTAAATTATGTTTCACGATTATTTATAAAACTATAATATATCTCTGTTTGAATGTAATGTCAAAGTTCACTAATAAATTCAACAATATGAACTCACCAATCATTTTTATAAGTATCTAACAACACTAAACAACACGGAATGAACTACAAATAATTTCTTTCCTGTGTTTTTATATAATATTTTTTAATATCTAACTAGCGAAATCATACGACTTTACTCGCCAATAAAGATTATAATTTCTTATCTATTCATCCATACTTTTCAATGTAAAAAATAATATATTGAATTCGGTAAACACGAAATGCATGAGCATTTAATTCCAACTGAACCATATTAATAATTAAAAAGGAATTTCATTTGAAATAAAACAAATGAACAAACATAAATGAATCAATAATTTAATATATCACAAATAGGTTTGACAAACCTTTGTCAAATGATTTATTCAAAAAATAGTATTATCATAGCCATAGAGTCGATTTTGTTACAAAACAATATGCTGATAGTAATACGGAAACATTCGTATAAAGATTAATTAAATTATCAGTTGATATCTAATAGTGTTGTAAATATTTTACGAAATGTATTCATCGGAATTATTTATTTGTTCGTATTTAATGGGCATTAAACTTGTTGACCGTTTCGGTACAATCCCCTTTGAGTTTGTGGCCGTCAGCGGCCATCTTGATAGATGTCTCAAATTGTTACATTTTTTAAAAATTTTGCTTAATTTTAAACTTCTTAAATGATTGTATAGAATATTTTGTTAGTGGCAGACATATTCTTTTTAATGCAAAATGTTTTGCTTAAAAACCATGACAGGACCATGATATAAAATATTCGTTTATTTTGTTTTGTAGATTATAATTTAAACTAACTTTATTTAAATGAATAAGTATGTCTGTTGTCCAAAATGTAATGCAAATAAAGGTGGTAGAGCCTAGCTGTGGTCTAACTGTGTCTGCATCTCGAACATGGGCTGGCTCGACCGGGGAAGTACCACCCTCTCACAGAAGATCGGCGTGAAGTAGTCTTAGTGGCTGCGTTTCGTCCGATGAGTGAGAGAGCCTATTGCCTATTCCCTCCCTTTTATGCTATTTCTCTATTCTTACCCCTTTCTTTTCCTCAACAATCAAAGTTGGTAGCGCATCCGTAACATCTATGTCTATAGGCGACGCTCACTACTGCCCATCAAGTAGACCGTCTGCTCTTTTGCCAACTTTGACATAAAAAATAAAAAAGTAACCTGGAAGAAATAGCTCATGAGCAAAAAGCATGTTTATTCTCAGTTCGTATCGTCACTACACACGTAGTGTTAACAGTATGTCATTAATATCTTCATACATTATAGTATTAACGAGGTATTGAATGAAACGGGAGACGGTACGTGTGTAGAGTATAAAAACTTAGAATAAGTATTAAGACCTTTTATTCTTCTTTACTTTTGAAACATTCTGAATTTAAGTAGTTTTGTGTACAATAAAATAAATTCTATTCAATTCTATACAACGTCTTCCTAACAAATACAAGTATAGTACAGTATCTATATCAGTGTGTTACATTTTAGTTGTTAAAGTCATATACCCAAAGTTTTCTTCAGTGATGTCGCAATACATCTAAAAATAGACTATTTAAACTGGCTTTGTTATTTTAATAATATATATTTATCCTGAATTTTGCTGAAATATTTATTGTAATGTTTATAGTATGCATAAGATTGCCTCGCTTTAGAAAACACTAAAAGCACTAACTAGGTTGATGTCTAAATAATTTTTGATCGATTTCTGATCGTCACCAGCCTATCAGAGCCCACTGCTGAGCAAGACCTCTTCTCATATGGAGAAAGTCTGAGCATTAAACACCACGCTTGCACAAGACGGGTTGTCGATTTCAAACTTATAATTGTAAATTATAAGTCCATGTTTCCTCACTATGTTTTCCTTCATCAGTCAGTGGTGTCTAAATAATCTTAAAAGGTACATATGGCTCGGAAAAAATCATATTGGTACTTGACGTGTTTCGAACCCGCGCCCTCGTGCACGAGAGGCGGGCCTTTAACCTTTAGGCCACCACGGCTTTCATTATGTTAGATTGCAAGATTTACTTTATATAAAATTATTTTAAAGTACTTATTCTCTAATTTTCCTTCGACCTTCTGTCAGTAGCTAGCGTAACTTTTCT